GGACAAGCGAAAGCTAGGTCCGAAAGGTGGCGTTACCAAGAACAAGTTTCCTGGTGAATGCTACAATTGTGGCAAGCATGGCCACAGAGCATCTGAATGCAAGGCTCCAAGGAAGAAGAACAAGAGTTCTGAAGCCAATGTTGTTGGAGATAGCAATCAGAAAGAGGTCGAGATTAGCCTTTCGGCTATGGTGACCGAGGTGAACCTCGTGGGCTCAAACCCTCGTGAGTGGTTCATTGATACCGGTGCAACCAGGCACTTGTGTTGCAACCGAGAGATGTTCAACACCTTTGAGACCGTTGATGGTGAAAAGGTGTGGATGGGAAACTCTGCTCAGTCTGCTGTGGAAGGCATGGGCAAGGTGGTTCTGAAGATGACTTCCGGGAAGGAACTAACGTTGAACAACGTGCTGTATGTTCCTGAGCTGAGGAAGAATCTTGTGTCTAGTTCTCTGTTGAACAAGCATGGCTTTCGCATGGTGTTCGGGTCAGACAAAGTAGTTTTGTCCAAGTTAGGAATGTTTGTTGGTAAAGGATATGTAACTGATGGGCTGTTTAAGCTCAGTGTAATTCCTGTTATCAATAAAAGCAAAGTTAATTCTATTTACTTGCTTGAGTCTTCCAATTTATGGCATGGTAGACTAGGTCATGTTAATTTTAATTCTATGCGTAGATTAATTAGCATGGACCATATTCCTAACTTTCAAATTGACACAAATAACAAGTGTGAAATTTGTGTTGAGGCAAAACTAACGAAAGTACCTTTCAAATCGGTTGAAAGGGAAACTGAACCACTAGAATTAATCCATAGTGATTTGTGCGATTTTAGATCGATACAAACGAGAGGTGGTAATAAGTATTTTATCACATTTATCGACGATAGCACACGATACTGCTATGTGTATTTGCTTAAGAGCAAAGATGAAGCCGTTGATAAATTCGTTCTTTATAAGAATGAAGTGGAAAATCAACTTAATCGGAGAATTAAGAAGGTTAGAAGCGATAGAGGTGGTGAGTACGAAGCACCTATTGGTGACTTCTGTGCGAGTGTAGGTATAATACACGAGCGTACTGCACCTTACTCACCTCAATCGAACGGTGTTGCCGAACGAAAGAATCGTACATTGAAAGATATGATGAATGCGATGCTTATCAGTTCGGGCCTACCTCAAGATGCGTGGGGTGAGGCGATTTTGACAAGTAACTACCTTTTGAATAAGGTACCCCGAAAGAAGCTCGATAAGACTCCTTATGAGCTGTGGAACGGTAGGAAACCTTCCTACCAGTACCTGAAAGTGTGGGGGTGTCTTGCCAAAGTTTTGGTGCCAACACCTAAGAAAGTAAAGATAGGTCCTAAGACGGTGGACTGTATCTTTATTGGCTATGCACATAATAGTAGTGCTTATCGGTTCTTAGTACACGAGTCCAATAATCCGGATGTACACGAGAACACAATAATAGAATCAAGGAATGCATATTTTTTCAAAAATATATTTCCTTGTAGGTCCAACGAGGGACCGAGTACGTCAAAACGAACGTTTGACGAAACTATGGATAATGATAGTGGGGAATCCGAGAGAGAACCCGAGCTCGAGCTGAGACGCAGTAAGCGGGCGAGAGTTGGAAAATCATTCGGTCCTGATTTTCTAACTTACTTGTTAGAGTACGATTCGGGTACTCTAACTTGTTTATTAGAAAAGGAACCCGATTTTCTATCTTGTTTGATAGAGAACGAGCCTCGAACGTATGTAGAAGCCGTGACTTCTACGGAAGGACCAATGTGGAAAGAGGCTATAAAAAGTGAAGTAGATTCTATTCTACAGAATCACACTTGGGAACTGGTTGATCTTCCTCCGGGTAGTAAACCCTTAGGATCCAAGTGGGTCTTTAAAAGGAAGATGAAACCGGACGGTTCCATCGAGAAGTATAAGGCTAGGCTTGTAATCAAGGGTTACAGGCAACGCGAAGGCCTTGATTACTTCGACACGTATTCTCCCGTGACGAGAATAAACTCCATTAGGATGATACTTGCCATAGCCGCGTTGCGGAACTTGGAAGTTCATCAAATGGATGTGAAAACCGCTTTCCTAAACGGCGAATTAGATGAGGAAATCTATATGGAACAACCCGAAGGGTTCGTGGTTCCGGGCCAAGAAAGGAAAGTGTGCAAGTTGGTTAAATCGCTATATGGTTTGAAACAAGCGCCTAAGCAGTGGCACGAGAAGTTTGACCACGCGATGTTAACTAACGGGTTTAAAATAAACGAAAGTGACAAATGCGTCTACGTTAAGGAAACGATAGACGGCTATGTCATCCTTTGTTTATATGTCGATGATATTCTCATCGTTGGTAGTAATGATCGGATGATCAAGTCTACCAAAAACATGTTAAATGCAAGATTTGACATGAAGGATATGGGTTTGGCCGATTTAATCCTCGGGATTAGAATCATTAGAAGACCTGATGGTCTCGTGTTAAGCCAATCACATTATATTGACAAAATCCTTGAGAAATTTAACAAGGATGATAGTCAAGTGGCTAGGACACCATTTGATACAAATATTCATCTAACCAAGAACCACGGAGAAGGTATTTCACAAGTGGAATATGCTCGGGTTATTGGTAGTTTGATGTATCTTATGAGCTGTACTAGGCCGGATATTGCCTATGCGGTTAGTAAACTCAGTAGATATACGAGTAACCCCGGTGCCATGCACTGGAAGGCAATAGTAAAGGTTATGAGATACTTGAGGTATACTCGTGATCTTGGACTGCACTACGGGAGATATCCCGCTGTACTTGAAGGGTATAGCGATGCGAATTGGATATCTGATATTAAGGACTCTAAGTCCACGAGTGGCTACGTGTTTACACTAGCCGGTGCAGCCGTTGCATGGAAATCCTCTAAGCAAACTGTGATAGCTAGATCCACGATGGAATCTGAGCTGATAGCCTTGGACAAAGGTTGTGAAGAGGCTGAATGGCTACGCCATTTTATAGAGGATATTCCTAATTGGGAAAGACCGGTACCTCCAATATGTGTGCATTGCGACAGTCAAGCCACAATTGGGAGAGTACAGAGTCATATGTATAATGGTAAGTCTAGACACGCGCGTCGTAGACATAATACCATTAGACAACTGCTCACAACTAGTGTTGTCTCGATTGACTACGTAAAGTCAAAAGACAATATAGCGGATCCGCTGACCAAAGGGTTAGGAAGAGAAGTTGTGGAGAAGTTGACACGAGGAATGGGTCTACTGCCCTTGGACTAAAAAGTTCTATAGTGGATATCCAACCTAGCTGGCACCTAGGTTCAATGGGACAACTAAATTATGGAACGGAGCGCGTCACTGTGGGGGTCTCGGACTCCCTACCACTCCTCGTTAAAACAGTCACTCCCGCAAGAGGCTAGCATATTAATGCTTTAATGATTCTTGAGTATGCGGGATACTCGAGAAAGAATCACCTATGTTAGAGAGAAGTGAGGGTCGCTTCAAAGGAGAATTGTTGGGCACAATTCTTTAGAAACTCTCGCAGAACCAGGAACGGTGACCCACGACCAAAACGGGCACACTCATGAGAGCAAGAGCATGGTTGGGAGATTCTTGTGTGAGATATGTCATCGTCTACACAAACGGCAGTCGGTTCAAAGACATCGCGTTCTACCGTACAGCCAGTAGAGTAAACATATCTTCACGAGGGAAGGTTCAAAGGGTATAGTGACTCCCTACCTATCCTATGCAGGGATCGACCGTTTGAATACAGTTGTTTCCGATTTCAAAATACCGCGAAAATCAATTTTTCATTCATATGGGGGATTGTTGGAAAAAATAGCTTAAAATGGCATAAAATGGCATGTTAAGTGGCTATTTTGTGGTACAATTATCAGTGCGGTCCACTTCCGATTTGGGTCGGGTCAAAGTGGATTCGGATTCTTCGTAGTGAGACGAAGAGATCGATATATTGTACGCTCAAAACGGATAATGGGTGAATGAGATATTGATTCTCAAAGTAGACCCATTTGAGTTGGAAAATGAAGGGAAAAAGTGAGCTTTTGTCCCACATTGCTTTGGAATGAAGATTTTCCCCCCTTATATACAAGAGCTCTTTTGAAGCTTGTAGAATTGTATAGCATAGAGGCTCTCTCGCGCGGGGGGGGGGGGGGGTGGGGTGCAAATCAAATTCCAATCTAGCAGAGATTGAAAAGGCTTGATTCAAGCCCGAGCTCGTCCGGAACTAGGTAGTTGCCATAGTCACGAACCTGTACAGTTTCTGACCGTTGGCTCGCCATAGTTTCGGCCTCGTCCGTCACGAACCTGTACAGTTTCTGACCGTTGGCTCGCCATAGTTTCGGCCTACACGAACCTGTACAGTTTCTGACCGTTGGCTCTTCAATTCTACTGTTACGGAATTAATTTTCTGAGTTAATTCCAATTTTAAATTTTGAATTGAAGGCCATGCTAATGGTGCTGTTACAGGAAGGTGAAGGGGTGCCCTTAAGTGCCTAATTAAAAGCTATTAAATCCTTCACCCCTATAAAAAGAGGAGTTGGGCAGTAGAGTTTTACACAGAAAATATAGAACACGAAAGTTCATCTTTTAGCCTCAAAACCTCTCTGCTTCTACTCTTTCTTTAAGCCATACTGTGTTCATAGCCATTGTCTTGCTCGCCGGATCCTTTGTTTGAATGCTCAAACATTGGATCATAGCAAGTTTTATCCTGGGAAGCCTAGGCCACAACGCTCCTAGCATCTACGGGAGGTGGCAAATAAGGTTTTAAGGAAAGAGTGCACACTTGACTCTTGCAAAAACCCAACACCAAACACTAGCCAATTTTCTTCAAAATTTTCTTCCCTTCTTTCCAAAAAATAATAGTCAATTTTTATTTGATTATTATTTGTTTTCTACCAACGGTTCTAACAAAGTATACCGAAGTGTCAGCTTCTTAAGGTTTGGCGGAAAACCTGTTGGTAGATAAAAGCGCTCAACTCTTCCTACTTCAAACTTCAACTTCAAGTAGATGTAAATACACAAGGCTCCCTAGATAGCTAGGCACCAATTTGCCTTCAATGAAAATCCCAAGTTCCCTTAGGTTTGGAACCATTTTGAAGTTTGGTTTTTTGTCGGAGCTAGCAACTTTCAACCAATAAACAGCTTGTAGATTTTTTTTGACCAAGCGAGGGAGATATTGTGAACATCTCTTGTCAACATGCAAATGCCTCAATTGTCGCAAATCCAAAATATCACATGGCAATTGCAAAGGGCATTTTTTCATCCATGAAGTAACTATGAGAGTTACCAATTTATTAAGCTTCAAAAATTGAAACTCATAAAGAGACCCTATGGTACTTAAAGCCAAGTATCTCAAATGAACCAAGTCTGTTATTTCACGAGGCATGCCTTGCGAGCATTTAAATAATGATAAATCCAATACTCTTAGCAATTTTAAACATGGGTATACCAACCTGCATTTTGAATGGTATACATCTTTACCAAAGCAGAGAACAGAATGGATTTCATCAGGACCAAAATTCCCATAACTTGCTCGAGTGATTGGCCAATGACTTGTTTGACAGCTTAACCAATGACTAGCCTTTGGAGCATGGTTTCCATTAATAATGCACAATGTATTTCCATCAATTGCTTCTCTCACACAAACCTCGTGCACTCGATCATGAATGTTACATGATTTAACTTTGCCGTCAATACTTAGCTCATTAATTTGAACTAGACTTCTATTAATGAGATCATGCAAGTAACTCTCTCCCACTTCTTCCAAACTCATATTGTTATGTGGCTTTATAAATCCCTCTGCAACCCATAAGTTGATTAATTTCTTAACAGGAATGACACTGTCTTCAGGAAACACACCAAAATAATGAAAGCAAGCCTTCAAATGACTAGGTAAGTACTTGTAGCTTAATGAAACTATTTTTGAAATTCTTTTGTTATTATCATATCTACCAACTCCATCCAAAGTTCGGGCAACATCTCTCCATATTTCTAGACACCCTTTTGCTGTCGCCAAAAGTCCGGAAATTAAAACAACTACTAGGGGTAATCCACCACAACCAAGAACAATGCGTTCCCCAATTGGCTCATATTCACTGGGAACACATTGGCTTTGCCCAAACACTTTCCTTGAAAATAATTCCCAACGATCCGAAAAAGTTTGATACTTCACTTGGTAGGGATTCGTACTTAAGTATTCAGACACCTCTTTGAACCGAGTAGTTACTAAGACTCGGCTTCCATTAAAATTCTCTGGAAAATATCCTTGGATGGCATCCCATGCAGCAGTGGTCCATATATCATCCAAGAGAATTAAATATTTCTGTCCCATCAAACTTGTGCTTAATTTCTCAGCTATCTGAGCCTCATCTATGTTGTAGATCTCACTAGTGATTGGTGAAATACAACGTAATAGACCAATGAGCATCTCTTTGAGGTTATGAACTTTAGACACAACTACCCATGCTCGAATGTGAAAGCTAGCAATAGTAATTGGATGTCCATAGACTCTTTTGGCTAATGTAGTTTTTCCAATGCCTCCTTCCCCGACGAGTGGGATAACTTGTAGTTTCAGCACTACGTTTTCAACATATCTCCGAAACTTGTCATTGTTATTATTCCTCAAAATGGTGAAAACTGATCTCATGAAGTATGAATAACAGAGCCGCCGGTTAACTATCTTCTCTATATCACTGTCGAATCCTACAATCACTTCATTCTCAGTTTTTAAAGCATTTTGGTAGGTATCCCAAATTGTGATGTTCTGTTCCTCATCCTCTAAAGCAGCTCTTCTTTTTACCTCCAGGATCCGGTCTTTAACTTCCTCAATATCTCTTACTATTCTTTTCAAGAGATGATGAATATCTTCACATGAATATCCCCAGTAATCTCCCGAATATAATAGTCTTGGTTTAGAATTTATTTCGTACTTTTCATATATTCTAGCAACTTCATCTTGGACATCTGTATACAGTCTCCGAGCCCTGGTGTCCCCATCATTCATTTTTGTCTTACATTCCACCAAAAAGGCTTGCAGAAAATGGAGCTTGTAAGACAGCAACTCAACCGTTTCATGCAGTGACACCATCATTAATCCTTCAGCATACAAAATTGATAGTACTTCGAGCTCCATAATGTCTTGCTCTGCAGCCTCTACTATTTTGATTAGAGTGGTTACAGCATCAAAAGCCATTGAACTTCTCTCTCTAAAGTGTTTCTGGAACGTAACTCATATCCGACTTATTAGTCCTAATTACGTACTTTACTGACCAAGAAATTAAATGGAATGATTATAACACTAGAATTAAAAAGTATTCTTTTACTAGCAACACTTAATAATTGCCATTAAAGTTTAAAGTAAATATTAAAGGAATAAAGTTCAATTTGGCCACTGAACATAACATGAAAATGTAATTACGCCACTAAACACTCCAAAAATATGCAATTAGGCCACTGAACACTCTAAATGTATGCAATTTCACCGGATAGCAGGTTACCATCAATTTTAGCAGGTTACATGTTTACGTGACAACTGAGTTGGCATTTTTAATAATTTAAAATAAATTTTAAGAATAATTTTTTTAAAAAAAATGAAAAAAAATAAAATAAATAAAAATAAAAATAAAATAAAATGACGGTCGGCTACCCACTTCGTCTCCGCCAGAGACGAAAGGAAGAGGGGGGTGGCCCCGTTGTTTTTTTTTTTTTTTTTTTTAATTTGTTTTTGAAAATGCCAACTCAGCTGCCACGTAAGTAGGTAACCTGCTATGAAATTGCATAAATTTGGAGTGTTTAGTGGCCTAATTGCACTTTTTTTTTTCGATCGGTGGCCTAATTGCATTTTCAGGTTATGTTCAATGGTCAATTTGAACCTAATTTCAATATTAAATAAATATTAACCACGGTTTTAGAAAATCGCCAGCTAAATTCGACACACTATTTAATCAGTAATCACGATTGAATAACCATCAGGAAACACAATCGTGACGGTTCTAAATGCCATATTTGGTGTAGTGGATGGCCTGGTGCATGCAATGCAAGATGGGTTAAAATCTAATCTGCTAGCTGATGAATTAATTAATATAGTACCCTCAGCAAAACCATTGCATCTTCCAGTTTCTAAACTTGATGTGATTGAACAAAAAATGGAACCGTTACAAGTTTTTAATTTGTTTTTCAATTGTTTGTAAGCTGAGGGGCTATTATATTTAATTCCACCAATTAATCTCAACCACAAATCGGTCTTTTTTAATACACCAGATTGGTTCTCATGTTCTTAAGGGAGAGTGATGAACATCACCCCCTCTCTCTATATATATGTAAATGTGGAGTTATCACAAGATGAAAATGAGATAAATATATATTATGAATTTAGTTAGTGAATAAATCTGTAGCAGCAAAAGGTAAATGAATTGAGAGCGCAAAACATAATGCTAAACTATATCTATACGAAAGCAGAAAAGGAATAGAGTGATGTTGGAGAGAGTATAAAAGATGCATACCTGAATTAGGTTGATGATGAGAATGGAGATGGAGTTATTCCGTGAATTAGTTCGTTGTTGAATTTCTGAATTGAAACTCAGATGAGATGAGAGTTACTGAGCGATCGAGCAAAGATGAAATGAAATGAAAGTTGAGAGAGAAGAGAGATCTGAGTTGTTGAAGTAGAGCAGTAGAGAAAAGATATGGCAACTTCAACTACTCTCAGATGAGATGAGAGAGTTATTGAGAGAGCAGAGATGAAATGGGTATAGCAGAGAGCATGATATTTATTGAGACAGATCTGATGAATTTTATATAAGGTTGACTTTTAATGAGAACAGTACACCCCTATAAAATTCATGTCCAGGGTTTTAGTAAAAATAGTATAGGTTTAATTTCATAATTCTTGAAATTTGTAAGTTTAACTAGCTTATTTTCTTTTTATTTTTTAACAAGTTTTAGTCGTTAATTTACTGGATAGATGGATCGGATCAGTCATTACATATTCGATTTCACACATATGAACTCTCCATAATAATAATAATAATAATAATAATAATAATAATAATAATAATAATAATAATTCAATGGATTCCTCACCTGGAAGCAACCCAGCCAGAAAATCGGTTTGATAAGTTTGAAGAAGAACCCAACAGCCATATTACGGGTTTGAAGAGGAACTCAACTGTGGACGATGAGTTTTCAGTTGTGGACGATGAGTTTCCGGTTGGTGAATTGATCTGTCAGTGAAATATGTCATGCTAACACGGTTAAAAATTTTCCCTTTGAGAAATGCCTCGCCCATACCAACACTAGACCCTCTGTTTCTGATCTTCTTAGCCACCCCTTCTTCTATGGAATCGCTGACGATGATGACACGATGATATATGATGAAAACATTACTCGAAATATATATCAAAGAATGTTGGCAAATTCATGTTACCATGTTTGAAGTGATTATAGCTGTTCTGGTATCCCAAGAAACAAGCTTGGTTTTGATCGAAAATCTTATTGGCTCCTCTCTTTATGTAATGGCCAACTGTTGTAACCACATTTGATGTGCTTATAGTATTATATCTCCTTATAATATACTTAATACAAATTATATATCCCTCACCGTTCCAGAAGTAATTCCCTCACCGTCTCCGTTTCCGTTTCTTGAATGTACGACATCAAATCCTTCGCCAGAATTAATCGCACTGAGGGTACGTCAATGCAGCCAAAGTGTAAAAACCAAAGCAGGTCTGTCAAGAAAGAAATATACAGAAGAATATATTTCTTGGCTAGTTTTCCGGGGAAGACGAAGAAAGTAACGGGGCGATAATCGTTGAGGGTTGCCGATCATGAACTGTGGGGTTGACTTCAATGATTGATTTAAAAAGAAGGTCCACATCAGCTAATAACTTGTGCCATGTCATCATAGTAACCTGGAAACCTGTAAAAAATTCTAAATGAAAAAAAATTTAATAGTTCGTGGATCTAAATATCACTTATAAAAGATTATGGTGCGGTATGAATAATCAGTTATAGTTCATGATGCGGGATGACACTTTAGCCTATTTATTTTTATTGCTTTGTTATTCTGTTTAGTATCATGTATTTGTCCATGTCTGTATTGTCCTTCCTTTTTGTTGAGAGGTCCCTTAGTCTTTATTTGACCTGACTCATCAAAGGCTGAATGGGTTATTTTACCAATTTTTAATATGGTTTTATTTCTCTTATTCAGTTCACTCAATTGCAATGAATTTGAGTATATATATATATATATATATATATATATGTGGAAGGGTTCAGGTGATGCTTCCCGTGCAGTTGTGTTGTTGGACGCACTTTAAGCATTAACATGGTGCACCTTAAATACACAAATCACCATGCACCTTAAGTCCACAAACAAAACACCTTAAGAACACAAATCACTCACCTTAAGAACAAAAACCACGCACATTAAGCATAGATCAAAGTACATTGAGCACAAAACTTACACACTTAAAATTTTAAAATGTCTCACATTAAGCACAAACTCACGCACATTAAGTACAAAACCCACGCACATTAAACACAAACCTCACGCACATTAAGCATTAAACTGACGCACTTTAAGTATTAACTCACAGACCTTAATCACTAACCTCACGCACCTTAAGCACAAACCCCATGCACATTACGCACAAACTCCACGCATATTAAAAACAAATCTCACGCACCTTAAGCACAAAAGTCCACACTTTAAGTTTTAACAACTACTAACATTAATCACTAACCCCACGCACCTTAAGCACAAACTCCACGCATATTAAGAACAAATCTCACGCACCTTTAAGCACAAAAGCCCACACTTTAAGTTTTAACAACTACTCACATTAAGCACAAACTCACGCACCTTAAGCACAAAACTCACGCACCTTACGCACAAGACTCAGACACTTTATATACAAAACTCACGCACATTAATCACAAAACCACTCACCTTAATTTTGACCTAGATGCAAAAATTACAAAATTGCCACCGCATTTTTTTTTTTAGTTTTGGTAATCTTGGACGTTGAAGCAAGATGAATGGCTCAGAATAAACCGCACAACCGCACCTAAGGCGTTCACCCACACCAGAACCGATATACATACATACATACATACATACATACATACATACATACATACATACATACATACATACATACATACATACATACATATATATATATATATATATATATATATATAGAAGGGATCAGGTGCATTTGTGGCTTACCGTGCGGTTGTGCGGTTGATTAATGTGCGTGAGTTTTATACTTAATGTGCGTGAGTCTTGTGCTTAATGTGCCTGAGATTTGTACTTAATGTGCGTGAGTGTGTAATGTTAATGTGCGTGAGTTTTGTACTTAATGTGCCTAAGTATTGTGCTTAATGTGCGTAACTAATTCAGAATTATGAGCTCAGAAGGAAGCAGAATAAAAAATTTTCACAGTCTCCTTTTTCACAATCTTTGATAGGAGACTATGTAAAGATTGAGAAAAGCTCAGAAGTTAAGGAGATTGTTTTATCACAGATTGAAACATATGTGCGTTTACACAAACCTCAGAAGCTTTCATTAGCAGCTTCGCTCTCATTAGTAGCCCCTCAGTATGAAAAGTAAAACAAGACAAAATTCATTCCTCCACCACTTCGAAACAAAAACAAGAAGAAAATGCAGCAGTGGATGCGCATAAATTTCACAGCAGTGGATGAAGAACACACTCACGCACATTAAGCACACAACTCACGCACCTTAGCCACAAGACTCGCACACCTTAAGTACAAAACTCACGCACATTAACATTACACATTCACGCACATTAAGTACAAATCTCAGACACTTTAAACAGAATACTCACGCACATTGAGTACAAACCTCATGCACATTAATCATCCGCACAACCGCACGTGAAGCATTCAACCACACTAGAACCTTTCACTATATATATATATATATATATATATATATATATATATAGAAGAGCGCTCATATGCGGCGGGGTCTTACGGTGCGGCGGTGCGGTCAAATTCCAGAATACACCAACAGTGTTAACAATATGCATCAACAGTGTAATAAAAACACACCCCAATGAAATGTAATAAAACATCACAAAATACACCACAGACTCAAAAAAACACACCATATAACTCACCACCCCCAATGGTGTATTTTCGAACAGTGTATGGTGCTTTTACTCACACCTAATGGTGTGTGTTTGGTGATGCAGGGCTCTGTTTACTCTGTTTTGTGTGGTGTATTTCCTAACGTTGATGGTGCATATTTGGTGAACTATTGGTGTTGCCGCACCGTAAGAAATAACCGCACCGTAAGGTACTGCCGCACCTGAACCCGCCTCTATATATATATATATATATATATATATATATATATATATATATATATATATATATATATATATATATATATATATATATATATATATATATATAAGCTAATTATGGATAAATTGTTTAATTGTTACTTATGAGAAGAAGTACATGACGAAAAATGTGATACTTTTAATAAAAAATATATATAATACTTTTAAATCAAAACGTAATATTAAGAGTTGATGAAGAATTACTTGTGATAAAAATTGTAATACTTATGTAGAAAAATGTAACACTTATATTAAAAAAAATCCGACCTTATCATGAGACAGTATCATATGAGAATTTACCTTCTTTTATATACTTTATTGCACTTTCAATTAGTTGTAACAACCGCCATTTGAACAGTAAAATAGTCTTTTGGACAACAAAATTTTTAAAAACATTCAAGTTATTAGGGCAAGCCCTGTGGTTTTTTACAAATTAAAAAATGAGAGATGATTTTTTTTTTTTTGTTATGTGGGCAGTCGTTATTAAAGTGGTTTTTTGTCTTACAATTTCATGCTTTTTGTGGGTCTCACTGGAGTGAGAAAGGGAGAAACTTTCAATACTTTATGCGCGTTTCGCGCATCAGCGCCCAAATCGCGTGGACTGCGTGCGTTAGTAATTTACTTTTTTTTTTTCTCCTCTCACTCTCGCTGCCTCTCACTCTCTTGCTGCTCTCTCGGCGTCGCGGCAACGCAGCAGGTTGACGGCGAAGCTCCGCGCGGCGGCTGCTCCGGTGGACGGCGGTGGTGCGGCAGACGGGCAGGTGGTGGTGGCGGGTTGCAGGTGAGGCTACGGGTGGGGGTGGGTTCTCGGCTGCACACGGGTGGGGAAAGAAGAAAGAGAAAGGGAAGTTAGAAATTTAGGGACTTTGGGGAAAAATTGGGGAAAATATGATTTAATTTGGGGATTTTGGTAAAGTGGAAATTTATGGTTTAGATGGAATTAAAATTGGATAAATTTCAAGAAAGATAATTAGCTCAAGTGGTTTAGAAATTGGGTTGGTAACGAGTATACCCAGGTTTAAAACTCAAGGTTTGTAATTAAACATTTTACTTGACTTTTAGGCTACACAAGATAGGATTTTGGTATGGGTTTGACTTTTAGGCTACACAAGATAGGATTTTGGTATGGGTTTGACTTTTAGGCTACACAAGATAGGATTTTGGTATGGGTTTCCCATTCCCAAATTCAAAGAATACATGGAGAAATTTAGGTGGTTCTTAAGAAGAAAGGTTGCAAGAATACCCAAGTGCAAAGGTTATATATAGAATTAACCCAAGCATGATTCACTTCAAAGATAAATAACTAACTCCACAACGAAGCTTACTCGCAAAAACTAAGAGAATCATCTATCAAGGAGGGCTTACACTTAATTCCAAAAGAATCGTTTATCAAGGCAAAAACATGTCAAGGATAGCCAAGTAACTCAAGTAGACAACGAAGAAACACAAGACAACACACAAGGCAACAAGGAACAAGATGCGTACTAAAGACAAGGGTAGGGCTAGAAAAGGATTACCTGCTAGCTCCTCCTCCACTAAACCCTCGGACTCCGCTTGCGAACGCCCCATCACAAAGACTCTCCCTGATGGTCTGGCTCCAGCTGCTCCGCGGTTCGAACTACCTCCAGCTACTCCTCCGGCTCCTGGGGGTGGTGGCAACGCCCTCTGATTGGCTTGCTGGGGACACTCAGCGACCTTGTGACCCCTATCTCCGCAACGAAAGCACTTAAACGCTTGGCCACTGCAGTTCTGACCGGCATGCACCTTTCCACATCGATGACAAGGAAATGTCTTGACTTGATTTCCTTGCTCCATCCGGTTGGGTCCTTGGGTCGAAGATGACACATTCTTAGCTTGAAAACTCGGTCGTGGCTTCTTAAAGGTGGAGGAGCCTCCACTCTCGGTCCTCTTCCTCGCTAGCTCATAAGACCCTCGCTGAAGCTGCTGAACACGGTACAGATCCGCAACACTCACATAAGCATCCTTAAGAGAACTCGGCCTACTCATAGTCAAAGCCTTTCGTGCCTCATAATTCAAGCCGGCAACGAATTTCTCGACCTTAGCGAGCTTCGTAGGCACGAGCATCCGAGCAAAGCGCGCCAAATCCAAAAACTTCTTGTGGTACTCGACCACAGACAGAGATCCTTGCTGCAGGTGGAGAAATTCCTCGTACATGCATGGCGGCTCACACATGTGCCGGGTAAAACCTGTCCCGCATCCTATCCTTAAGCGCAGACCAATTGAACTCAGGTTCCTCAAGGTAGGCCGGACCTTCATGAATCCACCACAGATCAACCTCATGACAGAAGTAGAACGTTGCCAGTTCTACCCTTCTCTCCTCAGGACAACCCACAACCGCGAAGATCTTGTCGAACACTCTCATCCATTCTTCCAAAACAACCGGGTCTTCTTCACCTGCGAAGGTAGGCGGCCTGTGACCCGACACCAAACGACCCATGTCCCTGTGCCTAGCAGGTTGAGGAGGTGGCACGGGGTGGTTGTTGTTCAGCAACGCCTCGCTAAGCGTCTGCATCGTCTACGTTAACTGTTGGAGGTTCTGAGCAAGCCTGCTCGTTCGTCGGGGTTTTCGGGGTACGCGCTCGTGGACGAGGAGGCATCGCAAACTTCTACAACAACAACACGGTTACCAACACTCAGCTCACCGCGCAACCTAGAGTCCTAAGCCTAACACTTAGATTCTTAAGGTCACTTTAAGGTCTCAAACCACACTTAGCCACTTAAAAGTCTAGACTTAACCCTCCTAGGCTCAAACCTAGGCTCTGATACCAACTGTAACACCCCCTAATTTCCACGCTATTTAAAGCCTTAAACATGCAGATATCTAAACAAAACATCAAACACAGTGGAAGACTGAAAGAGGAATATATAGAGTGGAAGTAAAAAGGGGTGCTATGCCACGCTCACCCAGAGGTGAACGCACAGGCTAACATCTGCATAGTTCAACATCTAAAACCAACATGTTCAAAGTACTAAGTCTATATTGGGCTCACAGGCCACAAAACACAAGAAAGGAGCTACACTAGCTGGCACTAAACCGCGCTCTCGTCTAAACATCACCTGAAAGGAACACATAAAAGATGGGACGACGCCCGGTCAGCGAATAATGCTGGTAACCCACCAATACATGTGAAATATCATACATAGATAAGATATATGTTTGTAAAATCATTGGCGAAATGAAATACATATATATAAGTTCAAAAGCAAGAGTAGAAGTCAACACAAGACTCTAAGCACTCACAACAAGATAAGGGAACACATCCCAAGACCACAAAGGACAGCAACAACTCACAAGAACGTCTCAAGGTATAATCTATCATTACACAATAGATTAACACCCGACATGCATAACTCAAAGAATAAGGACACACCCAATGGCAACACATGCCAAGGCAACATATGCCTTTGTGACTACACACGTCACAAGAAGAGAACTCACAACAACGGCTACACAAGCCTTCGTGACATCACCCATCACGAATTGATATGCCTTCCTTATGCCCGGTTCCAACCTTATGGCTACCCCCAACCTTATGTCTAGTTCCAACCTTTACCTCCAGGATCCCTGTACACCAAGTCCAACATTTTCCCTCCAAGGACCGTCGTCCCCTCTCCAACAGATCTCCAACAGAACCACCGATTTCATAGTACACGAGGGTACCGATCACACACACGGAAACACATGTCACCCAAGAAATACGTGAACCTTACACAAAGGCCACAAACTCCATAATCACGTCATGGCCACCACGAGGACCACTGCCGTACCTTGGTGACTAGTGTCCCATAGCACTAATCGTGCAATCCAGGTACAGCCACACACACGTCACACTTCAACAGGAGTCAATCAACGGATCACAACGAAGATATGAAACCATACTCAATCAAGGAATGGATCACAGTCCAACAACAACGAAGAATAACACAAGTTATCATCAACAATAGGAAGGTACAAACAACACACACGCTAGCATTTAAACATCGAACTAGCATGCTCATCAAACGGGTAAACCAAACGTAGTTCCGAAGAACACACAAGCCTCATCACGGTTCAACGAAACACAATGTTGAACACTTAGCACGATTCAATACACCAAAACCTACAGGGATTCCTACCATATAGTTCTAGACATACGAAACATCAAGGAGACACTCAAATAGTTCCACAAAAGAATATCGGGAAGTCAAAAGACCAAATACCGAGTCAAAAGAATAACGGGGAACAAATCCCCCAACAAGCCAACATTGTTCCCCGCGGGTGGACCCACGGGTAGGCCCCTACCCGTGGTTCCGCCCGCGGGTACACTACCCACCGGCCTTGTACCCCGCGGGTGGACCCCTACCCGCCGTTCCGCCCGCGGGTACACACCTGTACCAAAATTAATCCCTTCGGGGATTTTCAACTCCAAGCTCAAATTCAAGTCCAAAACATGCCAAATCTCACCAAATACAACAAAATGAATTGAATCAAAGGAATAGCCAAGCAATGGCTTACATGAACCCTAAACACAAGCTCTATATCTGCATTTTCACAAGACAATGCATAAACACTCACATTTCATAGCAAAACACACGTAGAATCCAAGAAATCATCACAGAGGTAAGAAAAATAGATTTTGTAGAGCATGGGTTACCTCTTGTAGACAAAAACCTTCACTTAACACTTCACCAAGCTCCTAATAAGGCTCACCCTCCAAACCCACTTCAAGAACACATCAAAAGATCATAAAGATTCTATCTTTAAGAAAAGACACCTTAGAAAACACTAAAAACACAAGATGAACATAGATCTTACACTCCTAGATGCCCAAATGTATGAAAGGTAGAATCTTGGAGACAACTCTTGAAGATTTGACAAAGCTTCAACTTGGCTTGGAAGAAAGGCTATCCACCTTTTTAGAGAGAAGGTAGAGCTAAAGTTTGGAAAGTGTAAGGAGAGAAATGAGGAGTGTCTACTAGGTTAGCTTTCATACTAACACAAGGTGAAAAGTCATGAATACCCTTACTAAAATAAAGAGGTGTAACGGAACAAGGGAACTCCTCACAAAGCTTAAGGTACAACCTTGACTTTGGGTTGACTAGTCAATTACTAGTCCCCGACTATTGAATTTTCAGGAATTTAAGAAATTAAATTACCAATTGAATTATGATTAATTACTTAATTAATCCCTTAATCGAATTTGGATTACGGGGTGTCACAGCTTGGTTGGGAAGGGGTTAAAGGCAAGGTATTCGAGGAAAGGTTTAGGTGAAAACCTAGACAAAGTCTTAGTAGTCTAAGTTATGAAAGGACGTAAGCCACTCCCTAGACTTAGCAATGGCATCCTCTTTCCCTATGTCAAATGATCCCCTAAGCATCTTCATCCACACTAAGAAATTTAACCCTACTTGTTTATCATTTTGTTCATTATTTGTTAGCATTCATTTCATTAGTTCACTACGACGTTATTCAATTGTGTGCACGTGACATGCTTGCAAACACTATCGATGTCTTTACTTTTCAAAATTAGCAACTTAGGGGTAACTCCGAGCGGCCATCCCTTGAGAACGACAAAATCCGGGATTCAAAAAATCCCAACACAATTAACCTATCATAAGATCCGACTCCGAGACGGCTGTGGACTGGATCACTAAAGGCCCTTCTCCTTTGGGTCCGAGTGCTAGAATTGCGGAGGAATGCAAAGTATGGCTACTTAGAGAATGGGTTGTCGTGATTGAGTTTACTCCACGGGAAGACAATACTGTTCCGGATCAACTTGCGAAAGAAGCCATAGAAGAAGGCTGCGTCTGGATGGAGTTCTCAGTGCCCCCGGGATGCATTGTCGATAAACTTGAGAATGATAAACTTGGGAGTTATGGAAAGTTTTGATTGGTTTCGACGCCATTTATTACGTTGATAAAAACCAAGCGCCCAAATTAAATATTAATTATTAATATAAGTCTGAAAATATAATAATTATTTTTTTGGTAAATGAACAGTCACCGGTATCTATGTATTACTCGCTGAAAATTGAAAAATTATTAACTTAGTCTTGGTAAATGAACAGTTGCGATGTTTTTAAGCAATGAATTCAATGATTATATATAGAGATATATCTAAACGACCAAGTTTTGTTTGAGCGGAAATTTTTGGCTGAATTGTTTAAGAGAGAATTGTTATGTGTGTGTGTATATATATATATATATATATATATATATATATATATATATATATATATATATATATATATAGAGAGAGAGAGAGAGAGAGAGAGAGAGAGAGAGAGAGAGAGAGAGAGAGAGAGAGAGAAAGACATTTTTGGTCCTAGACTTATAGTGGCACGGGCAATTTTAGTTCTTTTTAAAAAAAATCAGACAATTTGTGGACACTCTTATTATGACAATGACAATTTTGGTCCTCTGTCTAAATTTCTGTTAGATGGCCTGTTAGATAGGGGGTACATTCGTATTTTCAGCATACGTCCTCCATTTTAATACAGCAATGTGCTTCTGTTCTTCATTCCAGATTGATGGGAGAAGAGGCAGATTGAAGAAGCAAATCTGGTCCAAGGAAGTGGTCCCCAATGAGAAAGACAAATGCAAGTGGTCCACACTATATGAATATATGTACTGCACTTCATATAAAGTGAACAACAAACCAAAAACACATGGACCCATTCACAACTGCACAGGACCTAGATAGCAACACAAATTATTTAAAGTCAATATCGCATACACCTAGATAGCATACATATATAAAGGATAACATACATATATAAAGAAACTACTTGCAACAATAAGAGAACTCATAGATACCCTACAATTTTAGTCAGTAAGTGCTACCGTAGCTGACTCAGAGAACTCATACATAACACACAAAGACAAACGAAATGCTTCCTTACCTGATTTATTCATCTCCATTTGCCTCCCTTCGTCCTGTATTTCGTCTAATTGTTGAGTAGAACGGCGAATGCGGCCTTTCATCACTGCGAATTTGGTCTTCAATC